CCCCCATGTCTGCAGCGGATAGAATTTGTCATCATTTTTAGTCCAGTGATGTAGCAAAACAAATGCCTGGAGCAGGCAGTTACTATGCGCTGAGCTGATCTGATGTGTGTAATTTGATGTGGGTTCAGAAGTACAACAGAAAGCACCGAAAATTCCGCAGAAATCACCTGGGAGGAAACAATTCCAGTGGTGCAGTGAGCTACCAGTGCTATTGAGCTGTGTAGATCAGCTTCAGTACCACACAGGGTGATGCATTTAATCACCATACCATCAGGGGAGACAATATTTAAATGTTAATCTGTTGTTTACTCAATGGAGCATTCTCATTGCAAGTTCTGTTCATCCACGAACGCTAATTTAGTGCACTCCTGCTTTTATTTCTATTTTAAACAAACCTCCTGCTGGGCAAGATCAAAGTTTCCAGAGCTTTCAAAACATTTAGGAAAGTTTGGCAAGTTCAGCCCTCAGTCCAAAGATGAAACGATAGTTTCAAAATAGTGTTATGGTAAACCATTTAAAATGAACGAGTTAACACGCCCATTGAAGTAATATCTGTTGGAATATATACTCTTCTGAGGGCAGATAGCAACATGCACCATTTTCCAAAAACCAACTAAATTACAGTTTGCAAACATCTTCATATAAATGAATTATAAACAGGCAGACTGTGGAATTGTACGCCATGTAGTAATAGTTTGCAGGTAATAAATGTAAAACAATGATTAAAGAAAGGTGGCCAGTTACTCTGATGTCAGTTATTGGGATAAAAAACAAAAGAACTGCGGATGCTGTAAATCAGAAACAAAAATAGAAATTGCTGGAAAAGCTCAGCAGCAGTTCTGAGGAAGGGTCACTTGACCTGAAATGTTAACTCTGATATCTCTCCACAGAGGCTGCCAGACCAGCTTTTCCAGCAATTTCTAGTTATTGGGAAATGCTTTAATCGATGAATAAGGAAGTTTTCACAGTGCAGTTAGAAGAAAACATCTTGTGATCAAAGTCAACATAGTTTAAAGAAAGGTACTCAGAGATAGTAAGAACTGCCAAGGCTGGAGTCAGAGATAACAAGGTGTAGAGCTGGATGAACACAGCAGGCCAAGCAGCATCAGACGAGCAGGAAAGTTGATGTTTTGGGTCAGGACCCTTCTTCAAAAATGGGGGGAGGGGAAGGGAGCTCTGAAATAAAGAGAGGAGGGGTGGGGCTGGGGAAGGTAGGTGGGATGGTGATAGGTGAGTGCAGGTAGGGAGTGGTGGGGATTGGTCAGTGAGGTGTGAGGGGCGGATAGGTGGGAGAGAAGATGGACAGGTTGTGTCAGGTCAAGGAGGTGGGGATGAGAGGGAGGGTTGGTCGTGGAATGAGGCTAGGGGTGGGGAGATTTTAAAACTGGTGAATTCCATGTTTAGGCCATTGGGCTCTAGGCTCCCAAGACGGAATATGAGGTTCTGCTCCTCCAATTTGTGGGTGGTGTTATTGTGACACTGGAGGAAGGTCAGGGTGGACATGTTGCCCAGGGAGTGGGAGGGGAGTTGAAATGGTTCGTGACTGGAAGGTGTTGTTGTTTGTCGTGAACAGAGCGCAGGTGCTCTACAAAGCGGTCTCCAAGTCTCCGCTTGGTGTCACCGATGTAGAGGCGGCCACATTGGGAGCAGCAGATGCAATAGACCACATTGATGGATGTGCGGGTGAACCCCTATCTTATGTGGAAGGCTTGTATTGTGTTTAACAGATTTGTTTACGTTTTTTTGAGGATATAACTAGTAAGGTAGTTGAAAGGATGTTAGCAGGAGTAGAATCCTTGGGGTTTCAAAGGGAATTCACAAAGAAGCCACATGAAAGGAGAGAACAAGCCAAGGGCTCAGAGCTGGGGGTGATATATTAAGCGAAGTTGAAAGTTTTGTTTTAGTGAATAGGAAGCAGAGAGCAAAGAAGAATGGGACATTTTGAAGTTGGCAGGCTTTAACTGATTAAGTTCTGCAGAAATGACTTAGATAAAGAGACCAAGAGTAAATTTCTTTTTGTTTTTTAATTTCCTTGAATGACTTCATTTATTTTCTAATCAACCTGTTCAGAGATGTTAATACAGAAATCTGCTCTGGAGCAGATGGGACTTGCACCTGGGCCCCTTGGCTCAGAGGCAGGAACAGTATCACTGCACCAGTAGAGCCCTACCAAGAGTGACATAGCTAAGTGCACTGATGTACGGCTGAGTGGCATTGTAAACTGTGAAGATGGCACAAAGACACTGCAAAGAAATTAAGACCAGTTAATTGAGTAGATAACAGCTTGGCAGAGAGAGTCTAACTTGAGCAAGTGTGAGGTATTAAATCTTCATTTGAAAAGAAATAAATCAAAGATGGTTTACACTGATTTGTTAAGGCAAGGTCATGTTTCATTAACATGATTGGGTTCTTTGAGTACATAATAAAGAGTTTTGATGAGGATAATGCATTTTATGTAGTTGCATAGATTTTAGCGAAGTTTTTGATTAGATCCCAGTGGCAGCCTGCTCATGAAAGAAAGAAACCCATGGGATCTAAGGCAACAGTCTGTTGCTTTTAGTAGTGTATATCAAACATTTTGACTTCAATGAATGGGGTTTAATCAAGATGCTTGCAGGCGATACTAATATCAGCCACGTGTTTGATAAATGGAAAATATTTTAAACTGCAGGTAAATGTCAGTGGAATAACCTTTAGTGGTTGTTATTGTTGGTGCAGACTTGATGGGCTGAAGGGTCTTTTCTGTGCTGTATGACTCTGTGATTCTGATCAGTTGCAGAAAGCTGAAAAGGCAAGGAAATACAAAATAAATAGTAAGTGTGGAGGAGTATAGAGTGGTGTGGGAAAAATGTTCAGTTTGCCATATAGCTTAAGATGGCATTATTTATTAGCTGTGATACATAATCTCAGAGCAGGGAGGTTATGTTAAAACACTAAAACAGAATAAAACACTAAAACAGAGTAAGGAGTTGCCTGTTAAGGTAGAGACAGGAGGTTTTTTTTCAGTGAGGGTGGTGAATCTGTGGAATTCTTTGCTGCAGAGGGTTGTCAAGGCTGTGTCGTTAGATACATTTAACGCTGAGATAGACAGACCTCTAATCATTAAGGGAATCAAGGTTTGTGGGATAAGGCAGGACAGTGGAGTTGGGGATTATCAGATCAGCCATGATCTCATTGGTCTACCTCTGCTCCAAATCTTATAGTCTTATAGTTGGCATACTGTGTGCAGTTTGTTCGCTGCATTATAAGAAAGATGTGATTGCTGTAGAGGGGGTACATAGGAGGGATGCCAGAGGATGTTGCATGAGACTTTTAGTTAGGAGGAATGATTGGATAGACTAGAATAGTGAATGATGAGAAGAGGAGTAATCAAAGTGTCTAAAGGTATAAGGAGTTAGAATTGATAGGCAGCTCCTTTTTCCCTTGGTTCAAAGGGCCATAACTAACGAGCTATTTAGTGAGGGTAAGATGGAGGCGGTTTAGAGGGATTTAAAGGGAAATGTAATCATCTATGATTGTGTTCTGAAAAATGGTTCCTGAAACAGTTGCGGAGGCAGAAACCTTCACAGCATTTAAAAATGCTTTCAAACTTAATTTTACTGACAAGACTACAGAACGAAAGCTGAAACCTGGGACTCAGTTAGATGGCAATTTCTTAACTGGAACAGACACAATGGACCAGATGGTCTCCTTCCATGTTGTAAATTTATATGGTTCTCTGATTGAAAATACAGCAAAGCAATTTGGAAAGCAAATGGCAAGTTGGCTTTTATTGTGAGGGGATTGGAGTACAAGGATTAGGAAGTCTTGCTTTGATTTTATAAGTCCTTTGTGATACCATTCCTGAATTACAGTGCCCACTTTTGTTCTCTATATTCTAGGAAGGATATACTTACCTTGGAGTTGGAACAGTGAAGGGTCATTTGACTTCTGACTGGGATAGGAGGGTTGTGTGATGAGATGCTGAGTACATTGGGTCCATACTTGCTGGAAATTAGAAGAATGGGAGGTAATCTCATAGAAATGTCAGTGGTTCTGATGGAGTTTGACAGGGTAGTCTCAGACAGGTTGTTTTCCCTGGCCACGGAGGCCAGAACATTGGGGACACAGGCTCAGCAGAAAGCTTTCAATCATTTAGGATGGGATGACGAGTATCTTCAACATCAAAGAGTTTTGAATCTTCGGAATTCAAATGCCACAGCATGTTGTCATAGCACCACCTTTTGATATATTTAAAGCTGGGATAGACAGATTTTTGATGTCTTATGGGAATTATGAGAAATATGGGAAATTAAGGCTTCAGATAATAGATTGTTAAGTAAATTAAAGGCTGAGATACACTGATTTTTAATCAGTAAGTGAATCAAGCGTTATGGGGAAAAGACAGGAAAATGGAGTTGAGGATTATCAAATCAGCGGTGATCTCATTGAATGGCAGAGCAGGTTCGATGGGCTGAATGGCCTACTTCTGCTTCTATATTTTATGGACTATAGTGGGAAAAGGATAGAAGTTGCTAAGGATTATCCATGAGGGACTGCATGACCTATTGTGCTTTTATTTCTTATGCCCTTAAGTTCAAACTATCATTTCTACAATACGTGGTGTCAATCTCAGCTCTGTTAATAAAACTATTCTGAGAGGAGACACCAATCAAACAGGAAGGGAAAGTCACATTTTCCAAATGACAGCTAGTTGTTTACTAAAACAGTACAGATCAGTAAACTCAGATGGTAATTTGAACACACACTTGTCTTTGTTATTATTAGCAACAAGTTAAGAATGTATGTCAAGTCATCATGAGGCATTATTGTTTGCTGTCTCTGGTTACCATGTAGCACTGCTAGAGGCCTGGACTCAGGTCACATGTTGACTATCTTTACAGGAAGTACTACATCTCATAAAGGAAGTGGGGAATGTTAAGAGACCAAAACAAAAATGTAAATATGTATGACTTTGTTTTGTTTAGACTGTCTTGAACTGTTATTGCTATCTTCCTCAGGGTCCAGCAAAGGGGAAACTTGCAAAAAAGAACATCATTAATCAACAGGATCCTAACTCCACAACCAAGAAAATTGAAGTACGTATTATATCATCAGCAGTGCATCTCATTCTATTCCTGTTCTAATTTAGATTCATGTTCTCAAAAATTCCACATGAGGAGTGATAGTGATATTTGAGCTGCCTGTGTTTGTTTTTGGTGAGTTGGGGCTTTGTCTGTCCATGTTACTTACCCATAAGGCCAACCCTTCTTGGTAAACACTTGCTGACCCCCTGGAAAGTCTCTATGGAGCCTCATGAGTCCGTGGGTTTGAGAACCAGTGCCAACTACACTCCCAACTCCACCAAAAACACATTATTATTTTGGTACTTGCAAGTCACAGAATAGTTAGAGTGTAGATGGAGACCATTTGGCCCATCATGCCACCATGGGCTCAATGAATGAACAACTCAATTTGTGCCTTTTTGCTGCCATCGCACCCCACCCCCATAAGCCTGCACATTGTTCCTTGACTTACAATGATCTTTCCATTTCTGTCATCAGAAGCACTTCCTTCCATCTTCCTGTAAATTCTGAAGTTAAGGAAAGAGATAAAACTCACCGCTAAACGTGGTGACTGATTTACAGCTACCCTGACAATGTGAATGTTATATAATTGCAGTGACATTTGGTCACAAATATACAATCTTATTTATTCAGTCACCTAAAGTTATTGGCCCTGATAATAGATGACATATAACATCACTCAGTTCTTCTTAAAGCACTCCATGTACAAACTGCTCCTGTTCAGCACTTACTGTTTCCATATGAACGAATGTCACAGGCATTTTGTACCCAGCAGGCTCCCTTAAACATGACAAGGTGAATGTCCAATTAATCTGTTGTTGGTCGTGTTGATTGAGGGAAGAATGAAGTCCACTGTGTTTTCAAGTGGTGTCATGGGATATTAAGCGTTCTCCAGAACAAGCAAACCTAGCCTTGGTGTAATTTTTAATCTAGGAAACCCCTGGCAGTTCTGTTCTTCCGCACAATTACACTGAAGATTTTATGCCCAAGTGTTGTGGGAGTTGAGCTCATGTTGTTGGACAGAACTCCCATATCCCTGAATAAAGCTGTGAGGATTGCTGCTGAATCTGGCATTGTTAACTTGTAATTTATAATGCTTGAAACACCACGTGAAGTTTTTTTTTAAAAAGACAAAAAAGCAGTGACTGAAGCCAATTGTCTTCTTTCAGGTGATTTTTAAAATTGAAAATCAGAAGCCAATTGCCATCCTTCAGGTGAATGTTGAAGCTCAGCCCTATGTTATTGATCAGACATTTCGCTTTTATCACCCTGAAATGACATTCCTGAAGAAATCAATCCGCCTACCTCCATTGCACGCTCTGTCAGGTATCACGTTATTTGTTCTTTCCAAAATAGTAATTTTATTTCATTCTAGAAATTGACATCAATTGAATTGACTGGCTCTGTGTTGATCCTCTTGTATAAATGAACTGATTGTACAATATTGCCAATTAAATCTTCAGATCCCACTCTGTTATATTGATTACCTCTTCACTGGCATCATTTTCTGTTCCACTTGGTCCGTGATGCCAGCTTGGAATAGGTATGTGGGAAGTTGGCAGTAATTGATGTTAACATAAGAAATGGGAGCAGCAGGTCATTCTGCCTCTCGAACTAGCTCCACCATTCAATAAATCATGGCTGATCTGATTGTGGTCTTGACCTGCCCATCTTCCCCTTGTCAATCAAAAATCCTTTTGAATCAGCCTTGTCAGTGTTCAGTGAAGTGCCACCACTGCTCACTTGCTCGATCACTGGCTCTGTTCTGTGGTCCGATCTTTCACTGTTTTTGTTCTAAGCTGGTCTATTAGGAACTTCCGTTAAATAAGAGGGAGCTTAATTGATCTTTGGAGCATGTGGTACATTTATACTGGACATGAGGTATGTGATTCTCTGATCCTCGCTGTGTTCTCAATTTGCTGATCTGAAATGGTTCATTAGAACCATTGTAATTAAAAGTCTGCTCAATGCAGAGACCTAGGTTTAAAATTCACAGGTAACCTCCTGCCACCCTGCTCTGGCTAACCAGATCTGAAAGGTGTTCTACTCCTTTCTAGCATCCCCTATGCTATTTGCCTCAATGCTTCAAAGTGGTGTTATGTTCCATATTCTGCTCAGACTCTGGGTAAAGAAATTGCTGTTGAGTTTCTGATTGAATGTATTACTGACTAGCCTATAACTATGGAGGAGAAAACAGTTAACGTTTCGGGTCCGGTGACCCTTCCTCAGAACTGTTCTGAGGAAGGGTCACCGGACCCAAAACGTTAACTCTGTTTTCTCCTCCACAGATGCTGCCAGACCTGCTGAGCTTTTCCAGCAACTTTGTTTTTGTTCCAGATTTACAGCATCCGCAGTTCTTTTGGTTTTTATATAGCCTTTAACTATGGCCGCTAATTTGGTGTCCCCTCACTCTTTATAGCCAGTTCCTGAGCAAGATTCATTCTGGCTCTAGACTGAATATCCCCCAAACTGTTAAGTTCCCGATTGAGGAGGGATAAACCAGCTCCCCTTCTTTATTCACTCGGCCCCTCTGTTGGTTGCATCCAGGCTAATTTGAAAAGGATCCTTTCCCTTGTGGACCCTTCTCCCAGGAAGGAAGGAATATGCTTTTACAGGAGGGAATTTAGCCAGTTTTTCTTGCATTAACAAAAAGAGTGAGCTCATTAATTAAAATGCTCAGGAAAAATTAGTAACGCAGCACACAAACACACAGATTATTTAGATTCATATTGCATGGAAACAGACCCTTTGGTCCAACTAGTCCACACTGACCATGTTCCCAAACTAAACTAGTCCCACTTCCCTGTGTTTGGCCTTTATCCCTCTAAACCCTTCCTATTCATGTTCTTATCCAAATATCTTTTAAATGATCAAAATCAAAGCTGCTGGAAAAGCTCAGCAGGTCTGGCAGCATCTGTGAAGGAGAAAACAGAGTTAACGTTTCGGGTCCGGTGACACTTCCTCAGAACTGATGGTGGATGGGGAAAATGTCAGTTTATATGCAGAAAATAGGGGAGGTGGATGGGGCAGGGAGTAAACGATAGGATAGAGCCCTGAGAGAGAGAAAGACAGTTGGGCAGGCAAAGGAATTGCTAACGATCAGGCTGGGAGGGTGAATAGCTGTTAATGGGGACTGTTAGTGACTAACAACAGGGGGTGTGTAATGGCAGGCAATGTGGTAACAAGGCCTGGTGTGTGGGGTGGGGGGCTGGGACATGGGAGAGTTTAGGCCCTAAAGTTATTGAATTCAATATTGAGTCAATAGAAATAAGAGGTGAATCCAATAAAAGCTTATAAGAAACAGATGTGTGGATCAGTATGTGATTTGTTTCAGTGGGGGTCACAGCTAGTACCAATGTTGGCAGTTGAATTCGAGACAACAAGGCAGTTCCTACTATCTCTTGGCAGTTGAATTGATGGTTTTTGAGATTCTTAGTTTTGTAGCCTGATTGAAGTACCTTTTTCCAATTTCTTTTTTTTTTGTAGCTGGTTTGCAGCATCTGGAGTGAGGGGGCTATTTTATTATCAGCCACACAGTGTGACTAGGAGGTAGTTCTTCAACTATGACCTTCACGGCACACTAACGCTTTGAACTGAACACGAAAGTGTTCACTCCCATTAATCCACCGCATTAGAATTGAAACTGATTTTATAACCCCTCTTTTTGTATACTTCTGCTGAATAAAACAGGCACGTCTGCAAGTGGTGGCTTTCTGCAGGGAGGGGGTAGGATATCAGCCCCCCCATTATCTGCCTTTGTTAAGTCCCACCCTGTTTGATGTTTCCCTGATGATTTACATGACATTTCATTGGCTTAAAGCAGGACTTTGCCAGTCACTGAATTTAAATCTGCAGTTATTCTGCAGCAGCGCTCTTTTTAAAAATGCATTTTGAATTAAAAGTAAAGAATGTCTATAAGTACTTTTGAGTTCTGATCCATCATCATGATACCCCATAACTGGAAACATCAGCCTGGATTTTTGCAGAGTCCGGATCAATGTCATTTTAAAAATGGCTGGACCCTATTCTCGGATTCCTGTCTCCATTCTTGACAACAGCAATATTTGTTAGTTTGTGATAAGGGTGTAGGTAGTGACCCAATCCATGCTAAAGGGAGGCATTTCCCAGCATCCCTTGCAGTTTTTGTTCAGTTGGACCAGCTTCGCCATGACTTATGGTCCACAGTCCCTCAGCTTTGTTGCAAATGAGCGTCTGAATTTGGGAACTTTTTGAAAGGTAGTTTCAAAAGTTTTTATTTTACCTATTCCCCCTTCTTGCCCCCCCATCCCCCACCCAGCTACTCCCCATTGGTCCTCATACTCTCCATGGCAACTCGTGTCCCGTCCTTCCCAATTCACCCAGTATACACTTTGTTTATACCACGAGGACAGGGTCATCTGTAATTCTACTTGGCCTCACAAGGAATGTTTCACCAAGAGTCCAGACTAGTCAAAACATGGACAAAAACAGAATTTGCTGAAAAAACTCAGACTTGCTGAGCTTTTTCAGCAAATTTTGTTTCTGTTTCTGTTTTTGTTTCTGATTTTGAGAATCTGCAGTTCTTTCGGTTTTGATCAAAACACGGGTTCAACAGGAGTCCTGTTTGCCAAATGAAGAGATTTGTTCACTTTGCTTGATCAACACCATTACCTGGTTATGAACGGTTTATTTTCTGTGCTGTCCTTTGCCAATGTCTCAATGTCTTTTTGGACATGGTTTAGAGGGATGAGCATTTGAAGCCCTTGTTAGTTATACTTCAATGGGATGTCTCATTGTCACTTTCATAAGGTTGTAGGAGCAATAGTTTTTAATGATGAACATTACAGAATTGTTTCTCCTCATTCATTCAACATTTGCTCTTTAGTTTTGTACATAGTGTATATTGAGTTATTGGGCATGGAAGGGGCTTAGTTTGGCATGAATGGTCTTGGTAAGCAACTGGGAAGCATGTGTTGGTATTGTGTTGGCTTAAGGGAAGAGGGTGATGGGTGGCAAGGGTGTGTGGGCCTAACTGCTTTCATTACAACTGGAATCAAGCCCCAAAGAACCAAGGCAGGCCTTCTAATCAGCCCAGTTTGGCATATACCTGCCCATCCAGGATCTACTTCCAGGGTCCTCCTTCTGCACATATTCACCCTTCCCGAGGAGCAAAAATCACAGGATTTGGGCCCCTTTAAACTGAGATGGATCCACTACACCAGGAAATTTCCCAACTTAGGTTACACACCACCATTGCACAAATCCAGCCCATAGTCTTTACTTCTACCCAATGACGTCCCTCATAACTCTGCTCATTCCCAAGCTTTCTGTAAGAGTCTCAAGCTATTTATTTTTTCCAGAGTTGTAGTACTCTCTGAGATCTGGTATTATCCTTTCAAACCATTTTTGTACATTCTCCAATGTCTCTATCCTTTTTGTACTCTGGAGTCCATAAGTACGTTACTCAAAGTGTAGTCTTACCAATGTTCAATACATGTTTAGGATAATATCCATTCTTTTTATTGTTCTTGCTCCAGAAATGGACCCCAATGTTGAGTTTGCACTTCTAAAAACTGATCTACACATCTGTAGCTAGAAATTTCTTTGTTCGTCTGCCTCATTATGGAGAGAATGTTTGTCCTTGCTGGTGAGTCTTGGGTGGGGGAGAAGCTCGCTGGGCCACTCCTGTTCCTAATTCCTGGGTTCCTAAGAGACTCTTATTCTGTTGACTATCAGACCCTCTTAGGAGTATGTACTGGTAAATTTCTGATTGTCAACAGATGTTGATATGGCATACCAAACTGCAAAGGCCTGCACTTTTCTGCAACATACTGGCAGTTAACAAAATTTTCAAAATCCTTCAATTATGTGGCTCCTTATCACATCTTTCAAAGAGGTATGAAAGTACATCATTGAATACAAAGAATTACAGCAGTTTTGTATGTGAGCAAATCGAATAGTGCATATACTAGCTGAGCCACTGCCAGTGCTGTAAAACAGCTACCCGAGTGTTAGGCTTCAACATCTACTTTCAGTCACTGAAGATTTCTGAATATGTCAGTGTATAGGTTGACCTTTGACGCCTCAAAAAATCCCTCCATAGATGGGGGTTGATTTACAATCTGAGTATAAAAGTGGTCACCAGTTTGAAACGTCATCAGCATCTGCACAAAGAGTAGGCATTTCTTAAACTCCGATGCATCTCACAATACAGCCTGTGCCATCTGCTGGCTCTGTTACATCCCATTATAATGTAGCAGTAAGTAAAAACCTACATTTGTGGTGTGAACGATTGGGCCAGACTACTAATGCAAGTATAGCATGTCTTGGATGAAAAAGGGAGATGGGGGTGCAGTAGGGAAACAAATTGGTCTATATGCTGAGTAGATGCAAAAGCGTGATTTTTTGGTGCTGGAGAAGTTGGCTTGTCTTATGTTCCAGATTGACATATGTGTCATGATTTACAGTATTTTCTGGATTCCCATTGTCTTTGGATCCATCAATTTAGAGTGGTCAGCAAGAACTCCATATTAATGAAATGGGAACGGATTCAGAGACCGTATATTAACACTGAAAGGGTACATTCAAGGCAATTGCTTATAGTCCACAATAGCAGCTCATACTCTCTTGTCAGCCTCTATTTACCTTGTCAGAACAAATTTAGCACTTCAATCAGTCCATTTTATGATTAATGGCCCTTCTAAATTGAAGACCCTTTATAGTTTCTCTCTGTTACAATAGGTTGTATGACATTAATTCAGCTTTCATTGAGGTCTTAGGTTTTAAAAGGGACAGTTCCATTGCAGCTCCATTTGAACATGGGGGATCATAAAGGACTGATGATAAATTGTACCTGGGGTGGAAGAGAAAGCTTCCCTGGCTGTCAAATAGAATGGCAGCAGAATCTGTGAAATAAATGAGAAATTTATTGACTAGCTGATAATGTGCATTGTTTTGTGTGATAGTTTAAAGTATATTTATGAGCCTTCTGCAATTGTTTTTTTTCTCATTATATTTGTAGGGAGACATTTTATTCAGTTTCAGTAATACTTGTACTCTCTGAATAAGTGATGAGCAGTTAATTGACTGTGATGTATCTTCACATCTTCAGTAGAGGCTGGCAATGATTATTTCCTGTTCAGCATCTGCTTAAACCTCTTCCTTTATCTTCCTGCTTTGCGGAGAAGTGTCTGTTCGCTTGGCACCGTTGTCCGATGGCTGTGCGATCCCTATAGTTCTCCCTGCACAGCAGCAGCTAATTCCCTTTTCTCTTAAATGGTGCTAGGGCTTTGGGCCCACTACACTGCCTGGGGAGGCTAGTCCATTTGTCAATCATTCCTCCTATGAAGAGCCAACCACTTGAATTCTTCATAAATTTTCTTGTTTGTATTTAGCTGAGACTTGTGTTCTCTTGTTCTGCCTACTCTCATAATGTACTTTAAAGCAATTCTCCAGATTTATCATATTATTTACTGTCTTTTTTACAACGGAAACACAAAATTCTGACAATGCAGAGTCAGCATCAGCCAGTTCTGGTGCGCCCTACAAGCTCAAAGCATTCATATGTCATTTCTGTCAGCAGATGCTTCCTTTAATGTTTGTGTTTTGATTATTGCCACCTGCAACAAATGTATTTTTAAGATGGTTATGTTTTAATCTGTCTCTTTAATTCAAGGCGTAATGGGATAGCAAACAGGGTCATATTCTGATGAATAACAGTTTGTGTGGCCTAGTTACAATTGAGAGCTGAAGGGTTGGGGGGTTTTATGGGTGTTGCAACAGACCAATTACTTTTGTAAGCAACCAGGTTTACAGTCTGAATACAAGGGGAAGGCCAGTTCTTTTCGATATTATAGTTTTACTAACTGCAAGATATTGAAAAGGACAGAGGACAATGGCAGCTTCAGTCAGTGGAGGGTTAAAGGCTGCTTTCTCTGTTAGCTACCAGACTGAAGATGGGTGAGAAAATGTTCCCTGGCAGGAGAGATGCATCCCATGATAATTGAAGGACAGTGGAAGATTTGTCTTGTGTGGCCGGGAGAACGAGTATGAGGGGTGTCATTGCAGGTTAGATCAGGATTTCTCTGAAATCTAAGACAGGAATGTCAGTTGTTCACTGGACATTACGAAAGAGTGAAACAGAAGAGCCACCAGACCCGAAATGTTAACTCTGATTTCTCTTCACAGGTGCTGCCAGACCTGTTGAGCTTTTCTAGCAACTTCTGTTTTTGTTTTTGAGCAATTTTTAGCTGTGTTTACATTGGATTTACTTTGTTGATGCTCTGGAAATGCTGAATTTGTGGAATGTCAGCTCTATTAAGACCTCTGGACCTCGTTAGTTACTCAAGCACCATTCGTGGAATGTGTCTGTTGCCCACATTTCATGCTGTTCATGGTATCTAAAGCTTGGCTGTGGTAAATGAACCAGCTATGGCCCCACCCACTCTTTCTGTGCAAATAATTTTATTTTACAAGTTGCCTCCTCCTATCTATCATCTTCAAATTTGACAGATTTACAAACTTCTAAATATTTGCCATTGATGAAAATTTGAAACAGCTGTTGGACTCTAAACTCTTGGCTACCCTACTTCATTCTTCTTCCATCAATCCACCTCAATAATATGATTTCTATCATGTCCTTCAACCAATTATTTTATCCTCAGTCAAGATTTACTGTCCACAGCTTTTAACTTAATTGGATGACTTTTTGTAGCAGTTTGCCCAATGAATATTGAAGGGATTTCAAATCTTGAAAAGATAGAACATGAGGAAAAGGTGAAGGAGTTGCTCTGTTAATTAAGCTTTCAGTAGTATGGTAGTGAGAGATGACCTTGGCTTGATAGAGCAGGATATAGAATCAGTCTGGGTAGAGTTGCAAAAAAGGAAGGGCAAAAGATCAGTTTTGGGAATACTTAATAGGTCCCCTTACATACTTGGACATTAAGAACCAGCAAAGACTGACTTAAAAAAGGAAGAAAGTGGAAAATGAAAGAATGCCAGCTAGTAATAGTTTAAAAAGTAAGAGTTTGTGCAAGTATTTAAATAGGAAAATGCAACCAAGTTTAGCGGTGGTTCATGAGAGAGAGTTTGGGATAAAAAAGGAAATGCTGGCATTGCTAAACAGGTTTTCTTGAGTCTGTTTCATTGTAGAAAACTTATAAAGTATCCCAATGATGCTTGAAAATCAAGAGGTGAGTAGGGGTGGGACTTGTGGTTTCAGACCAGTTCTGCCCTTACTCTGGTGTGGTAATGATCAGGATCAATGATGTGATAATCAGCTGATGATCTGTTTTTGTGAAGTTGATTGAAGGAACAGTATTGACTCAGACATTGGGAGCAACATGCACATCCTCCCCCACCCCCAATTTGACTGATGTTTATTTTTTGATGTGATTTGATTCAGGCTTAAGATATTAACAGGAACCAATGACACTTATAGAGAAAAACTATTTTCGATGGCAACGGCATCTATGATTAGAAGACATAGCTTCAAAATTAGAGCCAGGCTATTCAGGAGTGAAGTTAGGAAACCTTTCTCCACACAAAAAGTGGCAGAGGTCTGGCCAATATTTCAAAAATAAGTGAACTGTGTCGCAATCAGTTGAGCCATTATGGAAAATTGTGATATCACTTAAAGAGATGTAAACGATCAACGAATTGCAGTGTACAGCAGCCTATAATTATCAGTCAGTTAATGCAACTGGAATTGCACTTTTGAGTCATGGCAGTAGTTGAAACTTTAGAACACACTGTTCATGAAACTATCCTGTCATATATATCTATGGATTGGAGTCTTCAAATTGACTTTGGAAAAGTTAGTTGGTATGCAGCACAATGGTGCCAACAGCAGAGGTTCAACTCCCGTATGGGCTGAGGTTATCATGGAGGCACTGCCTTCTTGATCTCGTCCCTCGCCTGAGGCGTGGTGACCCTGAGGTTAAACTCACTCCTGCTCGTCTCTCTCTAATGACTGAGAGAGTAGACAGTGGGACAATGGCCTTTCACTTCACTGAACCCAAATATATTTTACCAGGTAAAGGAAGCTAAACGTGCAGCAGAAAGCACTGGGAAACATATATTGTCTCCTTTTAGTTTCACTGTCCACATCATTTTTCTTTATAATACTAATTTTACAATCAATTACTGCACATCTCCTGTTCATATGGAGGGAAGGGCAGTGAGTCTATGAAATTCCTGTATTTCTCCCTACTGCTGTGTGTCATTTTAAGTCATTTGAAATTTTTCAGGCCTGACAGTACAGTCACTGAATGCTGAGCTTCAGATCAACGTTCGCTGCAGTGATTTCAACATCATTTGTGAGACAAAAAAAATGGTATGTTATTGATTTCCTCATGTTAATGACAAGCCAATAAGTTTTAAGTGCTTTTGACCTTTTCGAAACTGAGAAAGGATTTAGAGCCACTTGTACAAATAAACATTAGCAGTAAGCTGAGTCAACTGGTCAGAAGCATCAGGGCCTCATGTGACATGTCTGTCCCTGTGCGGAACCCACTTCTAAAATACTCATTGTGCCAGTGACTGAGCTAATGACTGCAAGCTTGAGAGTAAGTGATAATCTTTCATCTTTATCATGTCTTGCATTGCTGCCTGACTTGATTGCTGTAGTTGGGAATCTGAAATGAGAAAGACTCAAGGGCAGCATTGAAGTGGAGAGAGGCTAATTGGAGCTGAATTATCTTGAAGGAGAGGGAGAAATAGAATGTGAGAAGAAGGATTGGCACTGAGCCCTTTCTAATTATTCTTTCATAGTATATGGATTTTGCTGGCAAGACCAGTACTTGTTGTCTGTCCTTAATTGCCCTAGAATTGAATAGCATTTCAGAGGGAAGTAAAGAGTTAACCACATTGCTGATTCATATGTAGACCAGACAAGGTAAGGATGGCCGATATCGTTCCCTAAAGTGAGCTCGGTTTTTATGACAGTCAGTGATGTACTCACAGTCAATGTTTATCGAGACAACCTTTCAATTCCAGATTCTGTGAACTGAAGTTACATTTCACTAGCTGCCATAGTGGGATTTTAACCAGAGAGTTTGCCCAGGTTCTGGGTTACTAGCCCAGTGAGATTGCTGGTATACCACTGTCTCTCCTGTCACCCTTAATGGTTTCAGCCTTGGCATTTGGCACAGCCTCCAACATGGCTGATCCAATCACAGCGAGCCATTGAAATGAGGACAAGCATTATGTCTCCTCCTTGCCAGTTACATAGGCAACGCAACTTACATTTAGATTACATTCTTGATGTGATAAAACTTCCTAAAGCATTTCAGAAGAGCATTATAAAACAAAATATGACACTGAGCTACATGAGGAGATAGCAGATTAAATGACCAAAAACTTTGTCGAAAAGGAATTTTTAGAAGGAGGTGGATGAGGTAGCTGGCCGAGAGACTGAGGGAGGGAATTCCAGAATTTAGGCTCTGGGCAGCTGAATGCATGGAGACCAATGATGGGATGATCGAAACCAGGGCTACTCAGGAGACTGGATTAGATGAGAGCAGAGACCTTGGAGAGATGTGGGCTGAGAGAAACTTTCAGAGGTAGGGGCAGCAGTGCAAACATGAAAGGATTTGAAAACAAGGATGACAGTTTAATATGAAGATGTTACTTGAACTGCGCCAATGTTGTTCAGCAAGCACAGAAAATATAAGTCAATGGGACTTAGTGCAACTTAAAACCACAGGCAGCAGAGTTTTGTAAGACCTAAGATTTACAGAGTTAGCCAGGAGTGTGTTGGAATAAGCGAGTCCTGAGATAACAAAGGCCAAATAAAGGTCTTAGCCGCAGAGGAACTGAGGTGGAGATAAAGTTGCACAGTTTAACGTTCTTGCAAAGATTTGTAGCTTGGGTTGTGGATGAGGTTGTTGGCTTGCTCGCAGAGCTGGCTGGTTATCGTACAGACATTTCGTCACCATGCTAGGTAACATCATCGGTGTGGCCTCCGATGAAGTGATGTTATTTTACTCTGCTTGGTATTTATATAATCCGGTTTGTTAAGTCAGGTCGTGTCATTTCGGTTCTGTTCTGCATGGGTTTGTATATGGGATCTAATTCCACATATTTGTTGATTGCATTACGAGTTGAAAACCAGGCCTGTAGGAATTTCCATGTGTGTGTGTGGTTGGCTTGAGCTAGGATGGTCATGTTGTCCCAGTTAACTTGATGGCCTTCATTGTCCAAGTGCACTGAGATGAGGGAAAGTTTGTTGTGTTGTTTTGCTGCTAGCTGGTGTTTGTGTTTCCAGATGGCTAGTTTCCTGGCTGATGTTAATGTTTGTTGCAGTCATTGCAAGGTATTTTGTAAACTATGTTGGTCCTGCATGTCATGAGTGTGGGGTCTTTGGTCCTTGTGAGTGTTTGTCATAGTGTGGCTGTGGGTTTGTGTGCTATCATGATTCCTAGTGGTCATTGCAAAGTTGCACGGTGTTATGGAAATGCAAATAGATAGTCTTCATGCTGGCGTAGAAGCATGATTGGAAACTATTCTTGGGATTAAATGTGACTCTGGCACCATAAACAGACTGGTTTAGTTTCACTGTGTTGACAGTGAGATGGGTGGAGTCAGAGCTAGGGAACAGAGTTTAGACACGGGGCTGATAACAATGGCTTCAATCGTCACCGACAAATGAAAATATCTCCTGTACAACATATCAGTCAAACCGTGTTAAAATTTTAAAAACACTTTATCCGATATCCTCTCAGTATGCTCTTTTCTAGAAAAACAGCTTCAGCCTGTTCAATTTTTTATGATTAAGTATAATCACTTCATTCTGGCATATCCTTGGAAATCCTTTTGCACTCCCTTCTCAGCACCTTACCATTCTTATAATATGGAAGCAAAAACTGCTCACAGTGTCATCTAACCAAAAGATTCCATTCAGGTTTAAATGATTTTTCTCATAGAAACTTGGCTGAGAGCACAGTCATCCATTAATGCAGATCAGTGGACTAACATTGAAGTAGCACCAATAGAACTCAGTGACCTATAACCTAAAAATATTGCTTGAACATGTCCCATTATTCTTTAGGACACACCCAAAGATATTGACGGCTGCAAATTTTTTCTAGATAACTTGTATTATTAATGAGAAATTACATGAATAGAGATGCCTCCCATTTTAGTCATTAGCATGATATCTGCTTTGGGAGCTGGCGGGGGGATGGTGAGTTTATTCTTTCCTAATGTCTTCTTTAAACAGCACCATTTTGGTCTCCTCGCAATCACTGTTTAAAAAAAAATGGCTGTTTTATACCTCTCTTGCTGCTACTAAAACAACTGCCAATGAATGTGATTTCTCCCTTTGTCTCCCTCACTGTTTGACAAAGCAGCAGTCTTTATCATGACTTGCTGATCTCTCCTTGCCTTTCAAAAGTACAGCAAATCTTGCATGGCTATAAATCATTACTTAGGTTCGCACAGCAGTCAGTCTCCAACAGTCTCAAGCAATCATGATACCTTTTGAACCCGGCTTGCTGAACACTTGTGTGTTTCACATTCACTCTTTTACTTTGAAAAGTCTGTTTTGAAAAGTCCATACTCCTTCTGTAAAAAATGTAATAGATATGTTTTGACACAGATTGTATATTAAATTCAGAAGTTTTTGACAGATATGGGATTATCCATAGCTTTTGTTAGCCTTTTGTAAAATAATTTATTTGCGATGCCCCAAAGTGCTTTACAATCAATTAATTGTTGAAGTGTTGTTGTTCTTGCAATGTGGGAAATTGAGGAGCTAATTATCACACTGTTAAGCGTCCAAAAAAGCAGCAATGTAATAATGAACAGATAACCTAATTTAGGTGTTAATTGAGGGATAGAAGTATTGGCCAGGACACCAGAGCTGTTTGAATTATGTCATATATGCACCATGGAAGAGTACACAAGACTGTGGTTTTAACACCTCCTCTGAAAGACAACGCCTCTGGCAATGCAGCACTCCCTCAGGTCTGTAGTGTTGGTCTAGACTTTGCGCGTAGGTCTCGGGTTAGGTTATAGGTGCTAGCACCAGTCACAGTTGACATCATGTAAAGAGTAGGGGTCACCTCCTTCCAGTGTTTGGGCAGTAACCTGATGGAACTGATTCCATGCCCATTGTAGAACCTGCTTGTTTTTTATCTTTTTAATTTCTGTGGGTTTCACCAGATTGTAGTTTACCCACTGGACCAGAATGACTGAGAGTCAATTTGACTTCTAAATGTTAGCCCACTCACCTGGTATTTGTTGTGTAGCTATCAGTTGCTCCTGACACAGCTCTGAAGCAGCTACAGAGGTGGCAGATTGGAATGCCCACCTCCTGTTACTTGGCATCAGGCCATGGTTGTTATCTTCTTCCACCGACTATGCCCCCTCCATGCTTCTTCATATCTACCATGCCACCTTCATGCCCCATCATATTTCCCATGCCCACATGTCCCCTCATCCAGTATTCACTAGGTATACAATTCGTGAGCCATATGATAACAGTGGCAAATGTTTGAAACTCTCATGAAATTTAAAAAAAAAATCAGCCATTCAAGTTAATCTTTGAAGAAAACTACCTCTTATATGCTCATAAAATTGTAAATCAAGCAGAACCAGTGACGATCCCATTGAAAATATCTTTAATCTTTTACACAGGTTTTGAAAACCACCTCAAACAAAGATTATTATGAGCTAATTAAACTGACAATCAAATAAAAGTCACAGTTCCCATTGCACTGAGTAAACAATTTCTTGCCAGGTTGAGTCACCTAGTCATTCTAGGACCTCGGTCAACTTTGATAAAGAAGTCACCTTGCAACTGTATCGACAGAAGCAGAATGAAACAATGGCCAAACATCATAACGTTATCCTTATTTGAACTCATTTTTCGATGCCAATGTTTGTTTATTTGTACAAGATTAATGGTTTCTGCTTCCGAAGTTCATAAACTGTGGCTCCCCTAGGCTTCAAGACCTCATCCACCCCCACAAAGTAGCCATTACATGGAAACTTAAATTTTCATCTGACATTTAAATAGCGAACCCAACATCACTTTTAAGTGAGTGTTGAGTTGAACCTACTATATTTCCTGACTTGCTGAAAATAGCAGCTGGTGGAAATCAGAGGCCAAATTTTAAAATGCAGCTCCACCAGGTCCTGTTTTGTCCTCCCAACATGGGTTAACTCAGGACGAGAGATGAAAATTCAGACCACGGTATGAGAAAATGGCCCTGGTTTGGGTCTAAGTTTCAAACAGTGCAAAGTCCTGGAAGCATTCACATGTTGTTTTCTTTTACTGAAAGTGGGAATGCAATCCAATCATCTACTGAGAACACAGAAATCATGTGCAGGAGTCTTGTGATAATGGGATGAATATATTCCCATTCATGATAAATTTGTGAAAAATGATGAAAGTTCCAAATATTTATGTTAAGTTCTTGTATGATGATTGAACAGCGATCCTATTGTAAACTCAATCAAGAAAGAATATTAACACAGGGGGATCCTGGTGTGGTGCCAAGCCCCGGTGGTTAGGCACTTTGAAGAAGATCTGATAATTATCCACCTGAATGGATTAACTGTTAAAGATGCATATTTAGCACTGTGGTTGGTTTACTGCTCGGAACCTTAATGAGAGCTACAGAAGCATGACAATTTGTATTTCCACTTGCTTCAAGCTGCCAGTGATGCCAAAAATAATCATAGGTCTATTTGCTGGCTTCTGAAATAAACGAAGTAAGACATGGAAGAACTGTGGATGCTGGAAATTAGAACAAAATCAGAAATTGCTGGACAAACTCAGCAGGTCTGGCAACACCTGTGGACAGAAGGCAGAGTTAACATTTTGTGTCCAGTGTCCCTTCTTCAGAACGGGTTTGTTCTGACAGTGTTTTCATTGGGATAGAAGTGAGCTTTCAACGTATCCTATATAAAGCAACAGGCTCCTGTGGAAAAAAAGTACCAGCACGGATCAGCTGGGCCAAATGGCCTTCTGCAAAATTCCATGAAATAGTATGTGGTTGTGGAGCGGTACATGGTGAGAAGTGAACTGAGTGATACAGAGATCTTTAGCAATGCTGGTTAACCCTCAACGTAGTTAATGCAGGAAGTTTCTGTTTCTGAAAGTACATGCTTTAGCTAGAACAAGTTGAACGGGTTAAATAACCTCCTCCCACTCCAGACTTTAGTGATAATATTTTTTATAAAATACCAGTTTTTTTCAACTTTATTCTTTCATTGGAAGTGGGCAGCATTGCTGACAAGATCAGTGTTTATTACCCATTTCAGTTGCCCTTGAGCTAAGTGGTTTGCTTGGCCTAGCAGAGGGCAGTTTGGAGTTTATCACATTGCTGTGGGTCAGGAATTACATGTAGGACAGATCGAGTAAGGATGGCAGATTTCCTTTCTGAACCAGATGGGTTTTTACAACAATTGATGGTACTTATCATGGCCACCATTACTGAAACTGGTTTTATATTCCAGATTTATTGATTGAATTTAATTTCCACAGTGGGATTTGTCCTGCTATCCCCGAAGCATTAATCTGGGTCTCTGGATTACATTTACTCCAGTGCTGCTGATGTAACTTTTCAAAAACTTGAATCCCTAAAGTGTGGAAGCAGGCCATTCGGCCCATTGAGTTACACCAACCCTCTGAAGGGAATGACTCTGATAAATGATGCAGCACAAGATGGTGGGATGCTGGTCCCAGCTTGGCATCCACACACCTTGAGTTTCTCATTTCAATGATGTTCTTGCTAAATGGAGCAAAGGAGAGAACCTCCAGCGATGGACATTAGCATTGTCCTTCATCAGCATTTCCTTATTCTTTCTTGTCAGAAGGCAAGGAAAGGATTGAGAAGATTAAATTTTACCCAGTAGGAAGGTGGGCACTGATCATGTTACGTGGTTTCTGAGCTCCACATGACTGTTTGAAAATGTTTTCTACTAACATTGTTTGAGAGACGATAACATGCTTAGAAACACTCTATGTTTTTGAATTGGTTTGAGTTCTTCAGTCTGTGTATATTCTTCTAGTGAGGTGCAGGCACTTGTTTGGTATGCAAATTAATAAATGCTGTAAAATTTGACTATGTGAAATCCCTACAGTGTGGAAGCAGGCCATTCGCCCTATTGAGTCCACATTGACTCTCTGAAGAGCATCCCACTCAGACCCACCCCATCCTACCCTATCCCTGTAACCCTGCATTTCCCATGGCTAACCCACCTACCCTGCACATCTTTGGACTGTGGGAGGAGACCAGAGCACCCGGAGGAAACCCATGCAAACTCTGGGAGAATGTGCAAACTCTGCACAGACGGTCGCCCGAGGCTGGAATCAAACCCGGGTCCCTGGAGCTGCAAGGCAGCAGTGCTAACCATTGAGCCACTGTGCCGTGTGGCAATATGGCAAAAAGTATCTCCATTTTTGGAGCTGGGTTTCTCTGCCTTTCTAAAGGCCTTAGCACCGCCTTTGGGAGTTTGCAAAGTTGTGAACTGAGAGAAGTATCAAAGATTTATAGGGTTGCTTCACATATTAGCTCAAGTTACTGAAAAGATTTGATAGTTGCTTACTTGCAGATGTCTTACCATTAGCATCAGCAGAGAACGTTTTATGTTTTGATTGGAGATCATATATTAATATGATCTATCAATCGGCTTTTTAACTATCTCATTTTTATTTCTTCTACAGGCCCTCAATGAGCCTCAGGATGTTTTCCTGAAAGTGGCATGTGGCCCCTGCCCAGAGGTTAAGAAGTTCTTTGTCATTGTTTACATGTGAGAAACTATTACCCATTAATTTGAATGTACTGTGATTAAGCATCAACTAATTATTGTATGAAATAGCTGGGTCTGCAATAACATCAGTGCTGCCTTCTATACTTTGCATTTGTCACAGTAGCAGATCTGAGAGTGTACAATGCAATTTTCAACCAAAAACACATGTAATATAGCAGGTATGGTTAGTAAGTTTGCAGATGACACCAAAATAGGTGGTGCAGTGGACAGGGAAGAACGTTATCTCAGAGCACAACGGGATCGGATGGGCCAATTCCATGTACAGTTCTGGTCGCCCTTCTATAGGAAGGATGTTGTTAAACTTGAAAGGGTGCAGAAAAGATTTACAACGATGTTGCCAAACGTGGAGGGTTTGAGCTGCAGGGAGAGGCTGAATAGGCTGGGGCTTTTTTCACAGAAGTGTCAGAGGATGAGGTGTGAGTTTATAAGGGTTTATAAAATCATGAGGGGCATGGATAGGGTAAATAGACAAGGTCGTCTTCCCAGGGTAGGGGAATCCAAAATTAGAGGGCATAGGTTTAAGGTAGGAGGGGAAAGATTTAAAAGAGACCTAAAGGGCAACTTTTTCACGCAGAGGATAGTGTGTGTATGGAGCGAGCTGCCAGAGGAAGTGGTGGAGTCGGGTAAAATTACAACAGTTAAAAGGCATCTGGATGGGTATATGAATAGGTAGGGTTTCGGGAGCATGGGCCAAATGCTGGCTAATGGGACTAAATCAGTTTGGGATATCTGGTTTGGCACAGATATATTGGACCAAAGGATTTGTTTCCATGCTATATGACACTGTGACTGTGTACATAACAGTATAGATGCCGTTTGATGCCCTTTGTCTGTACACTGCAGGTCTGGAGAGCTGAGTCTTTGAATAGCGCATCTCTTTGACTGCTGTTGGGGTTGTGCATTAGGGGAGGAGAATTCCCAGTGATCTCTCTCTTCCATGATGGGAGCATTCTGTCATGGAGCCATGACAGACAGATAGAAGGAGATCACTAAACCTATTGGATCTGTGTTGTCACATTGGACAAAGTGAAAATGAAATGACCAGTGCTGGAAATTTGAAATAAGATTAGTGCTACATCTGCCCCCATACCTCCTCCCTCACCCCCATCCCAGGCCCCAAGAAGACTTTCCACATCAAGCAGATGTTCACCTGCACATCTGCCAATGTGATATACTGCATCCGCTGTACCCATTGTGGCCTCCTGTACATCGGGGAAACCAAGCGGAGGCTCGGGGACCGCTTTGCAGAACACCTACGCTTGGTTCGCAATAAACAACTGCACCTCCCAGTCGCGAACCATTTCAACTCCCCCTCCCATTCCTCAGACGACATGTCCATCCTGGGCCTCCTGCAGTGCCACAACGATGCCACCCGAAGGTTGCAGGAACAGCAACTCATATTCTGCTTGGGAACCCTGCAGCCCAATGGTATCAATGTGGATTTCACAAGTTTCAAAATCTCCCCTCCCCCACCGCATCCCAAAACCAGTCCAGCTCGTCCCTGCCTCCCTAACCTGTTCTTCCTCCCACCTATCCCCTCCTCCCACCTCAAGCCGCACCTCCATCTCCTACCGACCAACCTCATCCCGCCCCCTTGACCTGTCCGTCCTCCCTGGACTGACCTATCCCCTTCCTAACTCCCCACCTACACTCACCTTTACTGGCTCCATCCCCGCCTCTTCGACCTGTTTGTTTCCTCTCCACCTATCTTCTTCTCTATCCATCTTCTATCCGTCTCCCGCTCTCTCCCTATTTATTTCAGAACCCCCTTCCCCTCCCCCATATCTGATGAAAGGTCTAGGCCCGAAACGTCAGCCTTTCTGCTCCTATGATGCTGCTTGGCCTGCTGTGTTCATCCAGCTCTGCACCTTGTTGTCTAGAAAATTCTTGTGTTGCTTTCTGATAAAATGCCCTGCCAGTCTGTTCTCTTCAGATGTTCATCTGCTGCATTTTGTTCTATCCTGGAACCTGATTGGCAATCACCTATTGAGATTTACTTTCCCAAGTACCAGTCAGTGATTGGAAGCTTTGATGTGCCAGTAGTACATCAGGAGACTCTAGGGTACAGCTTCCTAAAATTGGCATCAGGACCTCTGACTGAGTTATACCAGATGTGCTTTCATTCTAATAAGCTCCTGCTCTCACAGCCTTTCCTCCCCTACATTTTCATATTCCCTCTCCTTTCCTCAAACCCTGCAAGTTCTCATTGAGAGATGCACCTCAATCCTCAAAATCAGATCACAACTAGAAAAAGGTTTGGGAAGCACTGCCAGGAAATGTTCTAAAAATTAGCCCCAGTCTTTGCAACTGGGGTTCAATTAGTGGCAAATTATACACATTTATCTTGCATGGTGCTATTGCAGTTTAATCAAATCGAGAGAGTGGGAAACAAGGAGAAACAATTGGGAGGAATTTTTCTGGCTTCATTTTGCAGGGACCCCTGGCTGGCAGTGCCCATCCAGATATGGCAATTCTACATACACTCCCTGCAAAAGATCGATGTGAGCTGTGTGGTCGGGGAACTTACTCAACTCTCACTGGTTCTGCGTGGGACACAAACTGTCAGGAAAGTCGCTGCTTATAGCTCAAGTCCTGAAGAGTTACAGGTAAATATATTGACCGAGAGATTAATCTGAGCAATTTCAAATATCGGTTTGTCACTTTCACATCTTTCGAGATGCAAGAGATTAGCTTCCAAATTTATGCAATACCACAATTCCTTGCTACTAATGTATTAGCCTGAAAATCAGTGTGAGCTGCCCAATGTGCAAATAACAACTATAAATCAAAATGCTCCCTGGTTTAATTGAGAACTAAGCTGAGTGAATTCGCTAAGGTGATTATACTTTGCACATTTGACCTGGATAGAGTGAGACATATTAAGCAGTGTGACCACAGCTGCAGATTGTGGGGTTGCAGTGAGGACAGGGTGAGAGCTGGCAGAGGCATTTCCATTCGTGTTCGAAAACAACTCAGCTGGATGGGGTAGCACAAGCTGCTGCATGGAAAGAGCTTGTATCGTTCAGAATCTCATCCATAGGACAGCATGAGAGATAAAAAGAGACCTGTGTTGTTAGTCTGCTCTGTCTTTGTGAGAATTTATATAGATTGATGTTTAGGAATACAATTTTATAAATTGTTCTTGAAACGTCAACATGTTTTTGTTATCACCATAGCCTACACCATCCGATGTCTTCCTACTTCCACCTCATGAAGTCAAGGACCTGCACATTAGTGTGCGTCCTCAGAAAGAAGGAGATCGCTGTCTCTACCTGAATGTAGTGGATGTAGATTTTCGCCAGCTGGTGGCATCTTGGCTGATCTGCTTAAGTTGTAAGCAGCCTACCATCTCTAAGGTAATGGGATTATTGCATCTTTATTAAAGACAGATGGATCAACAGGAGATTATTCACTCAACCATTTGAGTACCTCAATGAATCCTTTTGTATAAATAAGAATAACTCTTCTTGCCCATTAGTTTTGCCTGCTTTGGTTTCCTCTTCTTATTTCTGTGTCCTTTCAATGCCAAGCATCCGCAGTTCAGTGATTTAACCTACTTCTGTCCCCTTTAGTCCCAACATTCCTCAGTATAATATTTCTTCCAACCTAACCCCTCCTCGTTCTGATACCTCCTTCAGCCCCAGTACCTCCTCTGCTCATTCACTGAACACCCATGAAGATGTGAAATGTTAATGTTGAAAAGAAAGGCAAGACTTCAGTAGTGTTTTTTTAATTCATTTGTGGGACATGGGTGTCACTGGCTGGGTCAGCATTTATTGCCCGTCCCTAATTGCCCTTGGGAATGTGCAGATGAGCTGCCTTCTTGAACTGCTGCAGACCCCCTGGTCATGCGCAGTATACCCTGATGCCACTTAATTTATGTCAATGAAAGGATTCTGCTGCCTCTTTGATTATGTTGATGAACTAGTTGTTTCAGTGAAGACAAGTAATTTAGTCACAAACTCAGTAATCTTTAGAGAGGATGTTTTTGTTCTGTGAAGTTAGAGCATTAGATGTAACCAAGGTATCATGCTGTTGGCATGACCTGCATTGACCCTGGAACTACTGCAGTGGAGCTTCACATCTGAACTCACTGTGATCAAGGTCTGCAGAGCCCACTGTGACTGCTGCACAAACTCTCTCATAAATCGCGAGGTGAGTTATGTTGCTTTTCAACAGAAGCATCCTACATTGTGGCAAAAAAAGGGAGAAAATAATTTCAGACGGTAGAGCGTGGCTGTGGTACAGGACGCCTGTTATACATCCTGCCCAATAGTCATTAACTTCAGCAGGGTTGATTATTGAGCGTAAACAAATTGTTGGGAAAAAAAGTCAGCAGGCCTGGTCACATCCGTGGAGAGAAAATAGAGTTGCACAGACACTACCAGACCTTCTGAGGTTTTCCGGCATTTCTATTTTTGTTTCTGAATTCCAGAACCTGCAATTTTTTGGGTTTTTTTTTGTTGATTTTCGAGCAGGTTGATTAGACAAGGCAACAGGAGCACCTCCACTTGTATTTCATGATTACCAGCACAGATTGTTACTTTTTCAGTTTTCTTGCTAATTGAACTTGAGCTTCTTGGATTGCCTTGATTCTTCAGTTGTTAAGTGCATGGATTAACGTGGAAATGAGCTGTATAAACCAGCAAAGTTTGAGGCTCAATCTGACTTTGTGCTACGTTTGTTGATCTGAGCTGAAGCAGTGCTGAATTTGACATCCATATCTCAGAACTCTTCAATGAGGACTAAATAGAGCTGCTTCAATGATGTGAGAGAGAGGGCCAAGTAATCAACCTCCTGTTGACTGATGGATGACTACGTAGAAAGACCTTGTTACTGCTGAAAAGAGAGACAAGTTGTCAAAACGTCTCATCTTGCATCAGGACATATGTAAGAGTGCCAAAAATGATCACAACCATTTTTAATACAGGGGAAAAAAAAGTTGCTGATTGGTTGGCAAGTTGATCCTGATTGCCATGTACTTGAAATTTTACCACAAATTTTAGTAAAAAAAATTAAATAATCACAACAGTTTATACTGTTAGAGAAAAGAGTGCTAGTTGGTTGGATAGTTGACTCTCATTGGTCGAGTTGCCTTGTAGTATAGGTGGTTGTTTAAAATTGTTTAAAATTTGGCATTCTTGCATTTGTCCTGACAAACCATGTGTAAAACATCAGTAACATCTTTCTCTTTGCAGCAATACTCGAGGTTCAGTAATTGTGAATATTGACCTACATTGGGGTTAGGCAGTAGGATCGACATAAAAATCTTGTTGGTTTCTCTTTTCAGTTCGAATTCATGCTGTTTTCTTTGTTCAAAGGCTTTCGAGATCTCTATTCCTGTCGGGGAAAGGAGAGGTAGCACCAAACGCATCAGCTACACCAATCCGTACCCGAACAAACGGATGTTTTCCCTGCGGACCAACCGGCCGGATTTACTCCAATACAAAGAAGACTCTTTCGAGGTGAATGCTGTGCATGATTCAATTTAAAATAATTTCAATGTTTTCACCCAATATTGAAAAGTAATTCTTTCAGGAAAATAAAAATCCAGAGTAGCACCTGGAACATTTCTTTTGTGGAATATATTTTGTCTACATTTTGAAGGCAGTGTGCCCAAAGTTATGACCTTGTAATGCCTAGGTCATAGTGCACCTGGAGTACTGCACTCAGCTTTGGTCATCAACCACTCACCGATGATGTAAGCTGAGGGGATTGAGCTATGAGGGAAGGTTAGAGAATGTTAAATTAAAGCAGAATACCCTGGAAACACTCAGCAGATCTGGCAGCATATGTGGAGAGTGAAGTAGAGTTAAAATTGCAAATCAATGGTCTGTCCTCAACAAGTTAGAGAATCTTATATTCTGTAGCCTGTAGGGAGGATTGAGTGAGGAGATGCCATCAGGATGGATTAAATATGATATTTAATTGATTTAGAATGTATGAAATGAATTGCAAAGCAACAAAGAAAATACGCAGTCTTCTCCTAATGTTCTGGTACATGCTTGATAATGAAGTCCTGCCAGTATCTATAGTCAAGCTCTGGTAATTCAACTGCACAAACTCAAATATTGCCAAATCTCTCAGATGTAGGACATGAGGGACTGAGGTCCAATCCTCCCTCCAGTTTTTCCTCTCATGTTTCATTTACTATATGACATGTTTAGAATTAGCCATAAACTGCATTTCAAACTATTATTTTCTGAAATAAACATATCTAATTTGCATTTGTATGAGTCAATCCCAGTTGCTTCCATCATCTCCTTCGGGATCCTGTTCTGTCAATTGACCACTCACTCACTAAGGATTATCTTTAAATTTAGCCCCTTCAGTTTCTGGCCAAGTCCTCAGGCTCAACTGCTCTAGACAGAGGATAATGTGTCAGCTGGAGTCAGTCACCTCTTGGCCTTAAGGCTATGGCTTCAAATGTGTCCTCAAACACTGAAGCACCGAATCTAGGCTGACAGTTCAGTATAGTGAGAAAAAGCATGAGGCACTAAAACACCATTTGTTTGTACCAAATGGATTTAAAAGATCCCAAGACAGCATTTAGAGAAGTGCAATAAATGAAGAGAGGCAGATTTTCTATGTTCTGGCCAATATTCATTCCTCAATGTAATGAAAACAGATTACTCACTTGTGCGTGCTGTGTCTCTCTCTCTCTCTCTCT